CTGCAGGCAGCCTGTGTGGCTCTCACCAATAGGTGAACATATGCTCTGTTTGCTACCCATCTAATCTAGGCCACTTACAGAAAACCATGCAACTTAGATCGATTTTGCCACAGGCTTTTTGAACGTCTGTACCTAGCCCAGATGTCATCACGGACGTTCTCTTTCCTAGGGAGAATAAAGCATGTTCAGGGAAGGGAACTATAATGGAGCTGACTGATGGGATGCAATCCCATTCTTAAACTCATGACCAAGGTACAAGGCAGCCCAGTAGCTCCTCTGTAGCACAGACACTACTTTATTCTCTGGCCTGTGACAGAAGCCAACGTTCTGTGGCTGCAGGCTGTATAGCTGTGGAACCATAGGTCATCCCTCATCCTTAGACTCTGTATGTGGAACTTCTGTAGCCCGTAAGATGCCTGCTGAATTGCATTCAGTGTGACATATTTCTAGATTTCGAAAGCTTAAAGTGACCTCTCCTAAAAGAGAAATGAACAGTTTACTTTTGGTTTGAAAATTATATCCCACAACAATAGAATCAGACAACAGTAGTGGAAAGCCGTTACATAAACCTGAAAGCAGTTACAGAGTTGAAACAAAGAGAATAAATATGGCTCCAAAACCAATTATAAACACAGGTTAGAGACTACATCTTCACATAGATTAGTGCCATTAAAACAAAAATCACTGTTATAACCAGAAGTGGGAGCCTTTTTTGTGTATGTAGGAGTGCCTGTTGTATATCATTTAGTTATCAGAAGCTTTCAGATTATTTCACCTTAAAAGACAAGAGACACTCATAAATAATCTATCAGCACATACACACTGAGCAGGCTGCCAAAATGTTTCACTACCAGTTTCTTTAAGCAATAACTGCAATATATAAATTGCTAACTAGATGTCAGGTTGGGTAAAAGTAGTAGTAAAACTAGGAATTTTTTGCCTGACTTCCAAGCCATTTCCTGAGTGTAGTAGTTGCTTCTAACTCTGACACTCTTTGTTTTAACTTTATATCTCTATTCAAACACTTAACGAGGCATCTTTATGAGAACATAAGGAATAATATAATTTGGTCTTTCTTCATTTTGGTCATTTGTCCTTATGACCTTCTTTAGCCCTCATTCTGCCACAGAGTTAAAAGAAATAATGGACATATCCTCACAGTTTCCAAGCTTTAAGCCATCCAAATACAAAGATAAGCTAATGCCAGGCATTCTGAATAGAGATACTGTAATGTCATGTTTGGAAGGTAGCATGGATACAGTGAGTATTAAAATTTTTCAAAACTGGAAAACTTTCAGTCAACACTTTTACATTGGTTTATCTGTTTGCTTGTTTTATTTACAAACAGCCCCTGTAACGATGTGGATTGAATATTCTGGAGAAAAAATAAAACACTAAAAAATGCATTCTCGGGCTCAATGTGTACCATATAGAGTAGAGACAGACATTATACATAAAGCGGTTTAAGTGATCAGAAACTGGTTTAAACCTGTAACAGAACATAAGTTCAGTGTACATAAACCAATTTCAAAATGGCCGAAATTGGCTTGAGATAAACCTTGTTGATTGTAGTATTGTCTTAAATGATTGAGCTCAAACCGGTTTATGCAATGTCTGTCCCAGGCCCCTTCTTGATTTAAGTTAAACCAGAGTCCCCCAGCATCCCAGCATGCTCTCTGGGCTGGGCTCTCTGCTCCAGTAGGCCTGGGCCACCCTCCGCTCCCCAGCTGGAGCAGGGAAAGGCAGGGGTGCAGGTCTGGCCTGATGCTGGCCCCAGAAGGGAACAAGGGAAAAGTTTATTCCCCCCCTCCCACCCCTGTCCCACCAGCATGGACCTGCACTTCTCTGTGCTGGATGCTCCAGCTGTGGGGGCATGTCCAGCCCTGGAAGTATCCTTGGCTGAGCTGGCCAGAGAGGGGTTTAATTCACTACTTCCTGTCCCACCGGCAGGGACCTGACCCAGGTCTGCCGGGTGCTCCCCGTTGCTGCTGCAGCTGCAGGGCTGGGCATAGCCAGACACTGGGTGGCATGGCCCCCTGAGGAAGAGGGGGCAGGGAGAGGGGTTATTCCCCACTCTACTCCACTGCCCCTGGTGCACCACAGCTGAGTCTGCCTGCCCCAACCACCATCCTTGCTTGCCCCCTGCTTGGGGCAAGCAGAGGAATAAACACCCTGCTACTCCCTCTGCTGGATGTCGGTGAGAGGGGGAATAACCTTCCTTCCCTGCCACATACCTAAGGGGCCTTTCCAGCTGGCCTCTGGCCACACCCCGCCCTGCTGCTGCATAGATGAGGGGGCAGGGCTCTTGATGCGGGCAGCAGCCCCTGTTACAGTGTCTGGGGAGCAGAAGCCTCTTCCCAGTGGGGGCGCCATGCTATGGGGCAAGCAGAGCTGTGGCGGACAGAGCCCTACAAGCTGCTGCCACCACCATGGTCTGCAGCAGCTTTCCCTGTTCCACAGTGCCCCACCCCCCCTGGCTGGGAAGGGGCTTGCGCTCCCCAACACCACAACAGGGGCTGCTCCCCACATGGTCACACCCCCAGCAGGGACCCTTAAGCAGAGGGACAGGGAACAGAGTTATTCCCACCTCTGCCCCCCCCGGAACCGCTGCAGGGTCTGTCCGCCCTGACTGCTGCTGCCACTCTCTCTGTGCCTGGGGCAAGCAGTGGAATAAGTCCCCACTTTCCCCTTCCACCGGAGGGGGCTTATTCTACCACTTGCCCTGGACACACAGCAAGTGGCTGTGGTGGTGGCAGTCAGTGCCTGCAGACCCTGCTGCAGTGCCTCGGGGGCAGAGCGGGGAATAAACCCATTCTCTGCCCCACATCTAACGGACCCTGCCAGCCTGGCTCTGGCCACACCCCTTCCCCCCACCCGGCTGCTGGAATGGTGACGGGGGAGCGACCGTGACAGGGGCAGCAGCCCCTGTCATAGTGTTGGGGAGTGTGAGCCCCTTCCTAATGGGGGGCCACGTTGAGAAGTGGGGAATGTTGCTGCGGACCGCAGTGGTTGCAGTGGCTTGGAGGACTCTCACCCTGTCTGAGCCCCAGTGCTCCTGCACACAGTCTGCTGCAGCTCTGCTCAACCGGCAGCACGCACCCCCGCCAGGAAGAAGTTTGCACTCCCTGGACACTGTGACAGGGGCTGCTGCCCCAATCAAGAACTCTGCCCCCTCACCAATGCAGCGGAGGGGTTGGGGCACAGCCAGAGGCTGGCTGTCAGAGTCCCTTAGGTGGGGGCAGGGAGAGGTGTTATTCCTCCTCCCTCCAGCATCCAGTGGAGTGGGCAGCAGGGGGGTTATTCTGCCGCTTTCCCCAAGCAGGGATCGAACAGCAGCGGCAGTTCGGGCAGGCAGACTTGGTTGTGGTTCCCCAGGGGCAGTTGGGGTAGAGAGGTGAATAACCCCCTCTTTGCCCCCTCTGCCTCAGGGTGCCATATACCTTCCGAGTCAGATGCTGCCTATGTTTTATACATTTTTTCTGTTCCTAGGAGAGTTAATCTAGGCACATTTATATCAAAGCCATAATACTGAACCATATTATATTAGCTTTTCACAACAAAGTGAAATAAGGCCTGAATTTTATATGAAACGCAAGATATTGGAAAACACATCTGAAGCAAACTATAACTAAATCAAGAAACAGTTGCCTTTACTTCTGGGGAAAAGAATGGAGGGCAGTACAACATACAAAGAGAAAAAAGAAATACACCAAAATCAGAAGGTGGGACTGATACCAACAAAAAAGCTAGTATGATGGGATATGTGTCATTTTACCTGTTGCTGTAATTCTTAAGTCATGAACATTTCTGAATAAAGCCAAGTCTAATTTTCATATCTCCATAGGCATGTCTACATGTTCAATTCATGTGGAGTTTATTGCTCCCAAGTGGGACGACTGAACCTGCACCTGGAAGCAACAGGTTCCGGAGATTATTGCTATTTGAGTTTATTGTGGGACTGGAGCTTATTGTGGGACCACAGCACGTTGATCCGCGTCAGGGCAGCCCCGGTTGAAAGGGGACGTGGGGGAAAGTCAGCCTACCAGCCCGGTGCTGCTCCATCCCAGCTCAACCTGCTGCAGAGGGGCTGGCTGGGGCATAAGAGTAATTCAGTGAGGGGCTAGCTGGCAGACAGCCCCCTCAATTAAATGCCCTCATGACCCAGCCAGCCGGGGCAGTGTCTACATGTGCACTGCTGGAGTTTTTTAGTCCACAGCAGGATAGTACTTGTATTTACACGTACTATCCAGCTATGGAGTAAATCAGTTTACTCTAGCCTAACAGGGGTGCACGTGTAGACACTGAGATGTTTACTGTGCAGCTAATTAGTCTACTGCACAGTAAACGTTTTTTGTAGATGCACCCATGAGACTCCAATGTAATTTTTGCACAATATGGCTTAATGTTTTCAAATGACTGATCAGCTGTCAGATGCAGTTATAAAATCATGCAATTACATTTTTGACTTTGCAAGTCAGAGAGCAAAGAGTAATGTAATATGGTATATAGTAAGCAAGTAAATCTAAGAAAAATACGGTAATGAAATTATACAATCTGGGATATGTCATTTAGCCTGTTTTGATGTTGCTGTATTTATTCATTTATTTTTATATTCTGTACATGATAAATAATAAAGATAAAAATGTTTTGGATTGAGATTTGGCTTTCTTATAGGAAGTTATTCATTTTGCGATCTAAAACTGAATTAGGGCTAAGAATGCCTTTTAAACTTTGGATTTCCTTGGACCACAACTTGCCTGTAGAAAGAAAATGTTTTGTAATTTTCAGTTTAGCAGCATTTATCTAATGACCATCCTTTCTTTGCTATTGAAATTGTGAACATGTATGATGCTGTTATTGAAAGTCAATGATACAAATTACATTAATAGCTTATTTTTTTACTGAATAAAGACGAACATAACATTTTTATGACAAAACAACATAATATTCTTTATAACACAAACCTGTATACTCCATCATCTGGATGTTGAGTGACATACCTTTGATTTCATTTTTCTCCATTTCTTTCAGTGTCTGAACAAATGCCAACTGACTCTCAGTAAGTGGCCAACTGTCATACAACACCAGTGCTTGTATAATGTACTTGTGAGACTGTGAAACCAAATGTAATGTGTTAAAATATTGATGACATGAATAGGCATTACATTAATCATCCAAAATTCCTGCAGTCCAGTAAACTATTGAATATTGAATACAGCAAGTAGAACAATCAATTAATTTACAAACTTCCGTGTGTTACATTATTCATGAAAATTCAAAAGTAGTCTCATGTAACATTTTCCTGAGCATATGGTGTGCAAAGACAAAGACTTCTTTTATTTAACATAAAACTTCAAGCTCTCAATATCCTACTGATCTTTCAGCACTAATGCTAAGGCACATGATGTAAGCTGTGCTAGAGAAATGAGACCAGTACATTATGCTATTCATTATTTACAATGAATAGGAAATTATTCTAATAACATTTCTTACTTTGTTCATCTTCTAAAGTTAGCTCTGTGGTTAAGGAACTACCACTGCAAATAGGTATGAGTCATTACCTGTGCAATTAAAATTATTTTCTTTTAATATATATTTATTTAAATGAAACATCATTATCAAGAAAAAATCAAATTAAACTACTAGGGAATACATTTGAGGCAGACAAACCAAGGACAGTCAGAGAACAGGAGCAAGACCAAATTATCTGTCTACTAATTTGCAGATGATATCAAGTGATTATGCATTTAGCATTAGACAGTCATTGGGTGAGACCAGAAATAATCCTGAGATAAAAGACCAGTTACCCAGGGCTGCCCCTCTCCCAGCTGAATGCCCTAACCCCTAGGCAACAGAGGCAGGCTCCCTCTTGCTTGCTCTTCTTCTGCTTTCAGTACTCTCACATTCCTTTCTGAACAATAGCCCAGCATCAACAGGAAGGTACCTCCGCTCAGCTTCTTTTATAGTTCTGTGGTTAAGGCAATCTTCTGGGAAGTAAGAGATGGGGGCTTGCATCTCCTCTGGCTGCAGGGGGGTTGGAGTAAAACCCAGATCTCACACTTCCTGGGAGAGCGCTCTAATACTAGGCTATTATATAAAAAAGGTAGATGGTACCTTCACCACTTCCCCTTAAAGGAGGACTCAGCACTCTCTATATTGAGAGATTGAGACAGAAATGCTAAGCCTGGAGAGGGGAATTAAGATTGTCAGCTCTTGATTGTCACTCGCAACCTGGGCTCTGTGACTAACTCTTCAGAGGTAATCTTCAGAGAAGCAGGATTGCTACGGCCCCCATGACCCCAGGTTAGGTTGCCGGAGCCAGAACAGTTGCTGACCCCAGCCTCCCCTACCCCACCCAGGGTAATGTGTCATACACCAGAGGGTGAGTGGCATTGACATTCCCCAGAGACAAGTAGCAGTGGCACAAGGTGTGCTGCTGCTTCTCGTCCCCAGGGAAACAAACAGCCATGCTCATGTGGACACAGCCTCGGATTTAAGTGCAGAAAAATATCTTTAATTCTTTTATACAGGGTTAAATAGCCCCAGATTCAAGAAGAAATCTATAACAGATGTGTGTCAGGAACTGGAATGTATAACCTCTGCTAGAAAACATGAGCAAGTCTTCTGCTCTCTCCTTTACTCAAGCTACAAGGACCTCCAAAAAAGACCATAATAACCTGGTGAGCAAAAATCAAGGGCTCACCTCTCACATTCCATTGGACTAGATTTATAATAGAAGAAAAGGTTCTACTTTGCTGTTAGTAGAACCACAAGGGGTTTAATTTTTTTCTGAATTTGCCCACTGATACCTCCCAGATAGGCTCATTCCTTCGGGTGCTAAAGAATACTTGGGAATGGCAGGAAGAAGTCTCTCTACACTTAACAACAGCGGTGTTTACAACCGGGAATATTCCAAGTTCCCTTGCTCAGAGAGAATCATTACACATACTCCCAAATCCCTGTTAGCTCTCTGCTCTACAAAAACCTGAGAAAAAGAATATCAGCTCCTTCCGATCACATCCCTCTGATTAGAGTTCCACATTATCCACATTATCCTACATACATGGCTTTTCATTCCATCCAGGAAGAGCACACACCAACTGCTGAAACTTCCTTAGCTTGACGAAGGGTTTTTGAACCCGAAAGCTTGCTTAATAACTTTTCTCCAACTATTTGGGTTGGTCTAATAAAAGATATCAAATTCACCCAAGGAATCTTGTCTGGAAGCATGTGTAAAAATGCCATAAGATACCCAAAGGCAAATCTGGTTCTAGTAGAAACTTATTGCTCTGTCTTGACTTCTGTTGGCCATAGTGTCTGGAGACAAAAGACCTGAAGATGGTCAAAGGTGCTTCTCTAGTAAAACCAGTTATGTTGGTAAAAAAAAAAAAAAAAAAAGTTTTTTTTTTTAGATTAATGTTTCATGGACAAATCCATCCTGGCATGTCAGAAAAACAGTTGTTAAACTGGCCTTTTTTGGCTTTTAGCTCTAAAACTGAAAGGTTAGTTAAAACTGTGGGCTTCAGGCGAGAAAAAATCCTGAAGAAAAATAAAAATCCTCTGTAAGATAACTAAAATACACTGAAGGCTAATCAGCAGTCAGTCATTTGGACAGGCATATAAGCCTTCCCTTATTACTGTAGGCTGGTGTCACTGTGCTCGACTATGTACTGAGCATTGTGCCTAAAATTCCCCAGACTGCAAACCTATGTTGCTTAATTTTGTCACAGATAAACATGTTCCGAGAGTCTGTGCCACTTTTCCCTAGTAAGAGAGATTCAAATGGTAAAACAATCTTTTGACCAGGTTGATGAAATAGCTAATTTTTGCCAGTATGTTATAACCAAATCCCACATGAAAACTGCTGGCACATTCATATCTAAGCTTGGTGCGTACTCAGACATAGGAGCCAGTGCCCCTGCAGGAGTCAGCTAGTGATGTGGCATCTTCAGAGCCTTGTCAGAAGAGACAAAGAGCAATATTTGAGTGTCCAGTCTGTGGGCACTCAATATGCTCTTGAGTGTATTTGCTTTATTGGGTTGGCACATCTGAAAACCAACTAGCATAAGTCAAAGGGAAAAAAGGAAAAATATACTTTCAAATCTACTACAACAGAACTTGCTTTTCATGTACTCAGAAACAGTGAAAATCCCTACAGTTAAAGGGATGTGAAGGGTAACAAGAAGGGTTTCTACAAGCATGTCAGCAGCAAGAGGAGGACCAGGGAAAGTGTGGGTCCCCTACTGAATGGGGCAGGCAACCTTGTGACAGAGGATGCAGAAAAGGCTGAAGTGCTCAATGCCTTTTTGCCCCCATCTTCACAGGCAAGGTCAGCTCCCAGACTACTGCACTGGGCAGCATTTGGGGAAGAGGTGAGCAGCCCTTAGTGGTGAAAGTAGGGACTACTTAGAAAAGCTGGATGTACATGGTGCCAGATAAGATGCATCTGGGGATGCTGAGGGAGTTGGCTGATGTGATTGTAGCCATTAGCCATCATTTTTGAAAACTCATGACAATCAGGAGAGGTTCTGGATGATTGGAAAAGGGACAGTGCTCATATTTAAGAAAGGAAAAAAGGAGGATCCAGGGAACTACAGCCCAGTCGGCCTCACCTCAGTCCCTGGAAAAATAATGGAGCAGATCCTCAAGGAAGCCATTTCATTTCTAAGAACTTGGAAGAGAAATAGATGATTAGGAACAGTCAGCATGGATTCACCATGGACAAGTCATGCCTGACCAACTCGGTTGCCTTCTATGATGAGATGACCGATTCTGGGTGTGGGGAGACCAGTGGATGTGGTGTATCTTGATTTTAGCATGGCTTTTGATATGGTCCCCCACAGCCTTCTTGCAGGAAAGCTAAGGAAGTATGGGCTGGATGAATGCTCTGTCAGGTGGATAGAAAACTGGCTTGAGCATCGGGCTTAGAGAGTAGTAATCAATGGCTCAATGTCTAGTTGGTAGCCGGTATCAAGCGGAGTGCCCAGGGATTGGCCCTGGGCCTGGTTTTTTTCAATATCTTCATCAATGACCCGGAAAATGGCATAGAGTGCACCCTCAGCAAATGTGCAGATGACACTGAGCTGGAGGGAGTAGTAGATAGTCTGGAGGGTAGGGCTAGGATTCAGAGTGACCTAAACAAATTGGAAGATTGGGCCAAAAGGAATCTTCTGAGGTTCAACAAGGACAAGTGCAAAGTCCTGCACTTAGGACAGAACAATCCCATGCACCAGTACAGGCTGGGGGCTGACTGGCTGGGCAGCAGCTCTGCAGAAAAGGACCAGGGGGTTACAGTAGTAACCTCTATTCAGCACTAGTGAGGTGACATTTGGAGTACTGTGTTCAGTTTTGGGGCATCCCACTACAGAAAGGATGTGGACAAATTGGAGAGTCCAGCAGAGGGCAACAAAATGGTGAGGGGGATGGGGGACATGATTTATGAGGAACGACTGAAGGAACTGGGCTTATTTAGTTTAGAGAAGAGGAGACTGAGAGTGGACTGAGAGGGGACTCAACTGCCTGAATGGGGGTTAAAGAGAGGATGGAGTTAGACTGTTCTCGATGGTGGCAAATGACAGAACAAGGAGCAACAGTCTCAAGTTGCAGCAAGGGAAGTTTAGGTTAGATATCAGAAGGAATTTTCTCACTGGGAGGGTAATAAAACAGTGGAACAGGTTGCCCAGACAGGTGGTGGAGGCTCCATCCTTGGAGGTTTTCAATAAGACCTGGCTAGACAAAGCTGTGGCTGGGATGATCTTGTTGGGGATGGTCTTGCTTTGAGCAAGGAGTTGGACTAGGTGACCTCCTGAGGTCCCTTCCAACCCTCATTTTCTATGATTCTATGTGAAGGCCCCAGTGTACATTCTTACACTGTACATGTAATACAGAATACCTATTGTGACATTTTTCTGTAAAATTCAATTCACTGCATGAGAACTCATATGTCTCTAAGGTTATTAAATGGTGTTGGCATGAAAACTTGTTCACCTTAATGTAGTCATAGTATTTCTGAGCACTTGCAGTGACTTTCATCCCTGGATCTCTAATTACTTTACAGAGGAAAGTTATTTCTTACAACACTCCCAAGCAGTAGTTAAGTACTATTACACAACTGCAGGGGAATAAACCAGAGCCCAGAAAATAGACTATATTATTGAGGGGATATTCTCTACCCTTACACTGCCAATAAAACTGTTTTTTCTTTTACACACTCTTCTAAATTCATCCTTACCTTTCTGACCCACTTTTAAAACCTGATGCTAACCTCCAATCAAATCACATCAGCTTCTACAACCTCTTCTCACTTGGTCTCCACTACACAAACATTGCTCTCAAATCCATCTAGAATGCAACTGCAAAACTACTTTAACTTTCCTTCCATACTGAGTAATCTCAGTCCTATGATGGCCTACTCTTTAATATTTCACTGACTTCAGACTTCCTGTTTTCACTTTCAAATACCAACACAAACTAATCTCACATTACTTCTCTGCTATCATCAGCTTTTGTCTTCTGCTCATACTCTTCAGCTAATGTGTTCTCAGGGATATGAAGATACAAATAATTTACCACAGGATGAGAAGTAGATCAGCCTTCCCAGGTAAGTACCCATACTCTTATGCTATTATACATGAAAGCCAAACTACAGTAACTTCTCTACATTTCATTGACAACTAAACTACTGAGATTTAACTTCTGTTTACTACAAGGAGAGAGACTGTGCATGGGCAGTTGCCATACAACAGCTAAACTGTGATCAAGCTCTACCCTCTTTTACCACATGCTAAATTATTTGTATGTCCATAACCTTAACTATATATTTATAGCTCCTGGAAATGTAACATCCTCTATGCAGTAGCCCTTTTAAGTAGAACTTTTTTTCCTAACCCAGTACACCACATTTCCATTTTTCATTTTTACATTTTTTCCATGGGGCCAAAGCAAACTCCCCATTTCCTACTTCCATATGTGCATTTATATGTTTATGTGCTTATACTTAAACATTTACCATCTCACACCTACTACTGGAGAAGTCTGCCAATAGACTGTCACGTGAGTCTATGATCTTCATTTCATTTTGAACTTTTGAGTCTCAAATATGTAAGCCGTTTTCCACTTAGGTCTGACTAGGTCACCTGACTACCTCTAGAAACGGTGGAGCAGAAAAATTAAGCCTCTGGTCATTTGTGGATTTGTTTTAGCATTTGCCCAGCATTTCATCCATATTGATGAAAATAAAGAGCGATGGAAGGCGGAAATAAATTGTCATAGCAAAAGAAAACAGGCCAGCACTTACACGTGCGTTTAGGCTAGTTATTTTCACCGCCCCTGTAATGTAATCTTATGGTGGTGAAAATTAGATTGCTGTGGTCTATTAAGTGTTGCATGTGTATACGGTGACACTTTACATCGCAGCAAATTAGTCTACTGTGCAGTTAAGCGCATGTGTAGATGCACTCTAGGAGTGGGAAAATGTGTATCTTTTTGAAGGCTTAGCACCTCAGATTTTGATATTCTTAGTGCAGAGCCTCTGTATTCTATTTTGTGAATTACTGTAATAATTTATGACCCTCACTACATAAATAAAAGAAATGACATCAGTGGCGAAGCCAATATCTGTAAATAAAAGATTTATACAATATAAGGACATCTTATTTTCATATTTATTAAAGGAATTATCAGGACCATTTTTGCTGTTGTCCTGTTCCAAAATTCTTCCAGTCATTTGCATTTAAAATCTCTCACCTGTTGTGGACCTCCAGCATTCTTTTCAAAAGTTGACAATACAGTTTCATCTTCTATTACAGCCTGGCCTTCTTGTACATATCCTGGCTTGGAAGTAGGCTTGTTGCCCTTCTGACTTGGAATAATAGCTTTTCTTTTTGGTACCCCTGCTTCTGGGTCCTTCTTCGCACTGCCTTGGCCAACTTGACCTTTGCTTGCTGGTAGGGAGATAAAAATGTCAACCTTCAGTTTCCACGAATTCTACAAACTAGTAGCTTGAGATAAAGAGAGACAAACATACATAAAAAGGAGTTGCTATAGTTAATTTTCTTCCTGTGCATTTTGCTTACAAGGTTCCAGCTAACAGTCTCACTTCAATAAAAATTATGCCAAATTATTTTCTTTTTGCACGATGATCAGAAATATCTTTAAAAACTAGGTAAGAATGAAAAAAAATATAGTGTATGTTTGTGTGTGTGTGTGTGTGTGTGTGTGTGTGTGCATCTGCACACATATGTGTGTGAAAAGGAAAGGGTAGAAACAGTTAGAAAACTCCTCTTTGGATTTTCTTACCATTCTACAATTCTTTTCTTCAAGAATTACAGTCTCAATGCCTCTATATTAAACCAGTATATATTCTCTATCAAGTCAAGTCAAGTCAGTCCCAAAGCTGCTGTGACCATCGGGGCACCTTAGATGCTGTAACAACCCTCCTCCATCCTGCATGAGGTTAGTCGAGTTGCTTTGCATCATTGGGGAGTCTTCAGGCAGAGTGACCTGATAGCACCCATACCTTCTCCAGGGGTATGGATGGCCATTGGCTTGCAGGGAACTCATCCAGCCTTTGACAGGTCTTATTTTTAGTCCTGCTGCATGTTTATACACACTCCTCACCCAGGCTAGCCCACATGGGGGTGCCGGTTTAGTTGTTAACAACCCGGCCATGAAATATACTGTACTGGTTTACATGGTACCAGATAGCAGACCAAGAGGCCTGGCATGACTGGCATATTCTCTATACTCTGTAATAAGGTTTATATTATATGCTGGCTGAGCATTACCCTATAGCCAAGTTTGTAGCTGTATTTTTCAGCGGTTTCCCTTCCTTCCTTCCCACTTTCCCTATCCTTTGTATTTAAACAATGTTATTCCTTTCTTTTGAATAGCCCTGTTCTCTACAATTCCATTTGTAGTATCTGATGATGTAGGCTATAGCCTGTGCCTCTTTGAAGAGTTAATTTATAAGGTATAACTGTACCCTGGCTTCTGCCTAACAAGTAATTAATCGCCCTATAATGTCCCTTATACATTTGCTTAGGAAACAGCACCCAGCCCTCCTGATTAAACTGTTGCTTCATTAATGTCTAATTAATATTGTTTTCAAGGGACATTGTATGATTTTGCTAAACAGCAGATTTTAGCACATAAGAATTCTAAGATTTTTTTCTTGGGCATGTTGAGCACCTATACACGTGATGGACCTCTGCTACAAGGTGTGCTAATTAGCACACATTGGAGCAGACTCGATTAATTGAGTCTGCTGCGACTCTACTGGACTGTGCTAATTAGTGCTAATTCAGTGTCCCCACATTTCAAAATGGTGGCAGGGGCATTTTAACTAAAGCTCGTTGAATGAGATTTAGTTAAAACACACCCACTGCCATTTTGAAATGCGGGACACTGAATACACATGACACTGCTCTAATTAAAGTGCCCTCTAATTAAACTGTCCACCCTGGAGCACATATTTAGATGCCCACTGGTACCAGATAAGCCACATTTTAGGTCTCAGAGATATACTATATTTTTGTGATAAGCATCTACAAAGGTATTATCAGGCAGCCGATTCCAATGTAGAGAAGGAAGGTTTCTTTAAGTATGTTTAACTATGTACTTTCTTTGTAAGAAGGTCATGGTACATGGCACTAGAGGCTACTTTTGAAAATATGTCTTTAAAAGAATCTCAACAAAGTTCTGAATACACTTTTGCAACAAAGTTAAAGAAAACATTCTAAAAAGATCACAAAGCTGGTAAATAACTTTTTGGTGGTCACCAATGGTATGTCTATGCTGCTCAACGGTGGCAGCAACCATTGCTGTGCTAACAGACAGTCCACTTCTTTATGTATTACCTAAGATGGCTATATCCTTTCTGACTCAGGTGGTAATGCATGCAGAGTGAGCACAGCCTGTCTTCATGGAGCTGCCTGATATCATAAGTGGTACAGACACCCTTTAAGGCCTGACTAAAAGTACACTGCATTTCATAGAATGGCTCAGATGGGCTTCACAAGGCTATTTCTAACGCTCTAGTGACAGATGGGAGATCTGCAGTCAGTTTAACAAATTCACTTAAAACATGATTAACAGGATGAATAAGATTCTGCATAAAATAATACTTGATTTTGGGCCTGTAGAACACTATTTTCTAGCTCACAGAGAGAGGGGCCCCATCAAAAGAAATGAATCATCTCAGACTAGTAGGATCTTGTGAGATTTTTTTTTACTGGCAAGCTGATAGGGAATCAATTAAAATAGGCTCCCCAAAATGCACACTACTTAGCGAAAGCAACTATTCTGGCAGATGTCACCAGATGGTGCTGTGATACAATGTACTATTTTTTTTTCTTAGGGTGTGAATAAATATTCAACCTTGAGATTCATGCTCCCTTTGAAACAGGCATGGGTATTGGACTGAGACTGGTAAAGTAAAAATAAAGAACACTATATGATTCTTAAGTGCTTCCCTAGTCTCCAGTGTAGTTTGCTATGGTATAGTGGGGATTATGGTTGTACTATGAAATGTTTGGAGTACAGTAGCTAACAGGGCCAGTGAGAAAAATCACAGATATGGTCTGTTCCCAAATGTTGACAGTTTTATTACTTGGTGGTTACAGTAACTATGTGAGTGACAGGAGACTGGTGTGTCTCATTTCATTATCCCAACCCCATATCCAGTTCACCTCTCCTTTCCACCCTATAAAGTTATTAGCATGTTAGAAGTTATTATGTATTTTCAAGTACATTGGGAGCAAGAAGAGGGTACCATGCAACGTAGGGCCCCTGCAAGACTCAAATGGTAACCTTGTGGCTACACCAGATAAGAAAGCCAATATTTTTAACGGTTTCTTTGCCTCTGTTTTCTTGAACAGGGACCAGGACATCCCTCCTACCAGAGGTAGGGACAATCTCGGGGATAGCTCTGTCAGGCTTTGGGTCAGCACAGATGTAGTTAGGGATCTTCTGGAAGGGCTGGACATTTTTAAATCTGCAGGTCCAGATGCCCTCCACCCTAGGGTGTTGTGGGAGCTGGCAGGGGTCATCGCGGAGCCCTTGGTCTGGCTGTGTAAGCATTTGTGGTCATCTGGCCAGGTGCTGGGGGATTGGAAACTATCTAATATGGTCCCCATTTTTAAGAAAGGGAGGAAGGAAGACCCAAGTAACTATAGGCCTGTAAGCCTCACCTCGGTCCTCGGGAAGATCTTAGAGAAAATCATCAAGGAGCACATCTGTGGGGGGCCAGCAGGGGAGATCATGTTCAGGGACAACCAGCATGGGTTCATCAAAGGCAGGTCCTGTCTGACCAACCTAATTGCCTTTTATGGCCAGGTAACTAAATCCTTGGATGATGGTGTTGCCGTGGACGTAGTCTTTCTAGACTTTAAGAAGGCCTTTGACACTGTCTCTCACCCCATTCTCATCAATAAATTAAGCGACTGTGGCATTGATGCCTACACAGTTGGATGAGTAAAAAATTGGCTGATGGGGCGCACCCAGAGAGTAGTGGTGGATGGGTCGTACTCAACTTGGTGAGATGTGAGCAGTGGGGTTCCCCAGGGCTCAGTCCTTGGGCCCGCATTGTTTAACATCTTCATCAGCGACTTGGATAAGGGGGCGTGTTGCTGGACCTTGGGAGAAGGAATCCACAGCATACATACAGGCTGGGGAGTTCCCCTCTTGAAAGCATGGAGGCAGAAGGGATCTTGGAGTCATTATTGACTCCAAGATGAACATGAGCCGCCGATGCCAGACCGCAGCCAGCAAGGCCAGCCATACCTTTTCATGCATCCAAAGATGCATCTCAAGCCAGTCTAGAGAGGTGAAACTCTCCCTCTATACAACATTGGTCAGGCCACAATTGGAGTACTGCGTCCAGTACTGGGCGCCGCACTTCAAAAGAATGTTGTCAGCCTGGAGAGAGTTCAGAGGAGGGCTACTCGCTTGGTGAGAGGGCAGCAGGACAGGCCATATGAGGAGAGACTGAGGGACCTGAACCTGTTTAGCCTTGGCAAGAGGAGGCTGAGCGGGGACTAGTGGATGCCTACAAACTCATCAGGGGAGATCATCAGCAAATAGGAAGAGCCCTATTTTCCCTAGCACCACCTGGGGTGATGAGGAACAATGGTAATAAGCTGATGGAGAATAGGTTTAGGTTGGAGATCAGGAGGCAATATTTTACAGTTAGGGTGGCCAGAATCTGAAACCAACTTCCCAGGGAGGTGGTCCTCGCCCCTACCTTGGGCAAATCCAAGAGGAGGTTGGATGATCACCTGTCTGGGGTCTTGTGAACCCAGCATTCATTCCTGCCCGCGGCAGGGGGTCAGGCTAGATGATCTATTCAGGTCCCTCCTGACCCTAGCTACTATGAAACTATAAAACTATGAGCAAGTTAAGAAGATGCTCTTTGCCATATGATACCTTAGACTACTGTGAACATTCATCGGCAGCAAATTGCTGAAGAATCATACTTTCTGTTTATATAGCCTGGGCTCTACCATAAACTGAACACCTGACCATATTATGACTCCTAGTTGCCCTTTGTCAGATCACCACAGCCACGCTCCTGACCTGCTTTCATCTAACACCCCCTCCCATGCTGGCCTCTTCCCCCTACCTCTGACTCATTTTCCTATTGTAAAAAGAGTAGGGGGGGAGGGTGTACCTTCAGTTTATAATTCCTTATTTTTAGAAGTTTAATGTTTGGCTACTTTCTGGACCTCCCCATATCACAGCAGAGGCAGATATATCTTTTGTTATCTCCCTGCAAGCTGCAATCCCCCTGGCACTCATAATGAGGCAGGGAGAAGGGCTCAGGCTCCTCAACAAACCAGAGCCATTCAGATCACAGCTCACAGGAAAAGAGGCCTAGACACATCTCCCAACAAGCACTGCATGTGTAATTTATTTTCTTTTGAATGTTACTTGGGTTGCCTCTGAA